TGGTTGACCAGTCCCTTCTTCTGGTGGTACTCTAGGACAACATAGCAACTCCTAAACAGAAAAGGTGCTCAGATGCCAGTATGTCCTCTCCACCCATGTGTTGTAGCTAGATTGTGAGGAAGCAAGCCACGGGCCAAGAGCACTTACCGGAAAGTGATGAGGCTGGTAAAAATGAGAGGAGGGCAGAAGAAAGTAAGAAGGAGCTGCCAGACAGGGGTGGATCTGTCCATCTCTCCCCACCAGTTTTGAGTGAGTAGGGACTGTGGGGAAAAATACTGGAGACAATCAATACAGGGCAAGGTTGAAACATTTTTTCAATCCCCCCTCTCTCTTCTTCGCACTCATTTCCATATATAAAGCACAGTATATGAAGCAAGCTATTCCCACCTAAGCTACATTCCTTAGTTTGCATACAAGAATATGAGGTAAGGTACACAGGGGTTTAGCCTGCAATCTGGCTACACTCAATATGCCAGCAAGTTTGGAGAACTCAGCAGTGGCCAGAGGATCAGTCTACATCCCAATCCCAAAGAAGGGCAGTGCCAAAGAATGCTCCAACTACTGTACAATTGCACTCATTTCACACACTAGCAAGGTTATGCTCAAAATCCTACAAGGTTGGCTTCAGCAGTATGTGAGCTGAGAGCTCCCAGAAGTACAAGCTGGAATTTGAAGGGGCAGAGGAACTAGAGACCAAATTGCTAACATGCACTGGATTATGGAGAAAGACAGAGAGTTCCAGGAAAACATCTACTTCGGCTTCAATGACTATGCAAAAGTTTTTGACTGTGTGGACAACAACAAACTACAGCAAGTTCTTAAAGAAATGGGAGTACCTAACCACCTTAACTATCTCCTGGGAAACCTATACGTGGGACAGGAAGCAACAGTTAGAATTGGATATGGAACAACTGATTGGTTCAAGATTGGCAAAGGAGTATGACAAGGCTGTGTATTGTCTCCCTGCTTATGTAACGTATATGAAGCATCATGTGAAAGGCTGGACTAGAGGAATCCCATGCTGAAATTAAGATTGCCGGAAGAAATACCAACAACCTGAGATATACAGATTATACCACTCTGGTGGCAGAAAGTGAGGAGGAATTAAAGAACCTCTTAATGAGGGTGAAAGAGAAGAGCCCATAAAATAGTCTGAAGCTCAACATAAAAAAAAACCTAAGATCATGGCCACTGGTCCCATCTCCTCCTGGCAAATAGAAGGGGGAGATATGGAGGCAGTGACAGATTTTGCCTTCTTGGGCTCCATGATCACTGCAGATGGTGACAGCAGCCATGAAATTAAAAGACGCCTGCTTCTTGGGAGGAAAGCTGTGACAAACCTAGACAACATCTTAAAAATCAGAGACATCAGCTTGGCAAAAAAGGTCCGCATTGTTAAAGCAATTGTTTTTCCAGTAGCGATGTATGGAAGTGAGAGCTGCACCATAAAGAAGGCTGACTGACGAAGAATTGATGCTTTTGAATTGTGGTGCTGGAGGAGACTCTTGAGAGTCCCCTGGATTGCAAAGAGAACAAACCTTTCCATTTTGAATGAAATCAACCCTGAGTGCTCACTGGAAGGACAGATGATCCTGAAGCTGAGGCTCCAATATTTTGGCCATCTCATGAGAAGAGAAGAGTCCCATGAAAAAACCCTGATGTTGGGAAAGTGTGAGGGCAATAGGAGAAGGGAACGACAGAAGACGAGTCGGTTGGACAGTATCATCGAAGCTACCAACATGAATTTGACTAATCTCCAGGAGGCAGTGGAAGACAGGAGGGTCTGGCGTGCTCTGGTTCATGGGGTCATGAAGAGTCGGACACAACTTAATGACCAAACAACAGACATCCAATCAGTGAACACTACAGCAGTATAGTCCTGTGTAAATCATGGAACCATACCTGCACTCCATCATGAGCAAAAAAGAGGCGGGCATCAGCCTGGTGAGCTAGCTGGAGAACAGTGGCTCCACCCCAGAGGTGGGAACGTCGGACCAGTAGTTTGTAGGCCCTTGGCTCCCCGTTACGATAACATTCACCAAATACACCTGGAGTTGAGGGGAGATGAGAGGAAGAATGGCGAGCAGAGGCATGCCATTAATATAAGGGTATTCTAAGTCAAGTAAATTCTACTAGCTTCTGCTAAATTCACAACCCACCCTTGGTTGTAAGACTCAGTTATAAGCAACTTTAGGATGCCGTCTAACCTATGAGCAGGCTGCTTTGTCTGTTTTCCAATTCAGTGAGAGCAAAACATTGCAAGAAATCAAACTCTCCTAGGCTTTGAACTAGAGAATCTTCTAGACTATGGGCCCAACATTTTCACAGTTGCTTCACAGCGACTTTGGTCTTTTTCACATGATTGGTGTGGTTTTAAAAAGTTCATATTGGCACCATTTTTAAATCACACTAGGACTTCCATCCCAGCTGGCTAGTGCTGGGATGCTTCCCAGCTTCTCACAGCACCGGTTCCATATGTGGCGAAATGGAGTCTCGGGAGCTGCCCCTGAAGCAAGAACAGTGTCGTTGCCCAGCCAATGCCCAGGTGGTTTCAAAGCCACCTCAGTGCTGGCTGGCAGGCTGGCAAAGTTGTTCTGGCTGGCATGGGGCAGCTCCAGAAGCACCTTCTTTCCCACATGGCTGTTAGGTGACGCTGCCCAAGCCCTGTCGCTGTCACTGGAGGGAAGTTTCCCAACAATGGCTAGCCTCAGGACCAGGGGCTGTTCCACATCCTGCTTTAATGCAAGAATTTGCATTACATAAGGAAGCTTGAAACAAGTAGATTTTTCGGAAGGGAAAAAACAAAAACAAAAAGCCTTACTGCAAGTTATCTAAAATGTTTCATTTCTGCCCAGGATGGCAAGAATGTGGCCTGTGGACCATATATGGCTACACCAACCCTATCCCAAGGCCTAACTTCCCCCCAAAATTTAAAAAGGAAAAAAAGGTTCAAAATAAATTCCCCTTGTGCCTTCTGTGGCATTTCTATCTAATCTCCAAAACCTCCATATCCTCAAAACTGTTTCAAAATTCTTGGGCCACTACAAGGGTGCCAGGTGGCTTTTTCAAGGGGAACCCTCCCTCCCTTTTTGCAATACATTTTTAAAAGATGGGGAGGTCATGAGAACAGGTATAGCCTTCCAAGGTCCAGGGATGGGACTGTGCAGCTCATAAACCTCTGGAGATTACTCATCCCTCATCAGGACAATTAACTACAGTCATGAAGCCAGTTAGACTCTCCTTCCCTTCCCACTCATCCTCTCCCCTTTCCTTCCTTCCTTTCCACCCACCCACCCTGTTCTCTCCCGTACCCATGGCCAGCTTCTCAAAGGACATTGCCAGGTCCTTCATGGCCGCCTCTTCCTCTGCTTCTGTTTCGAAGTGCGAAAGTTCTCGTAGCATGCACGCAGCTGCTAGTGCGCCAGCCACTGCATCAGGTGCCTACGGTGGAAGGAAAGGGCCAGTCATAGGTGGGAAGTGAGAAAAAGGGAGTGGCCTTTTAAACTTTCCATGGCCAACTGTCATTACTTTTACTATGTTACATCCAAGCTCTGCTTCCTGATATAGTTGAACAGTACAGTGGACCCTCTACTTAAGGAATTAATCCGTATTGGAATGGTGGCTGCAAGTCGAAAAGTCTGTAAGTCGAGCCGTCTGTAAGTCGAGGGTCCACTGTATATCACAAATATATCTAACCCTGTTCTCTATGCATTTACAATCTGATTTTTTTTTGTTTGATTCTACATTGCATGAGACATGGATCTAACTGGTTTGTTGCCATGTAAGATCTATATCACAGATGGTTTCTGCTATGCTCAATATCATGTACACACCATTTCCCAGAAATACATGGCCATCTCTCTGCGATTCAGCAGCACAGCCCATATAAACAGATCAGTCCAAGGGTTTGGTGTAAGTTCATTGTGGTACACGGGGTCTCCATTAGGTAATGGCCCTTTAGCCTTGGGAGAGGAAAGGAATAAAGAGAAATAATCAACACAGAAATCTCACAGGCATACAGATGGCTTAGATACGGGTTCAGAAGTGGCCCTAATATATGACCACTTATGTTAAAAAAAACCTTCCAGCAAACTCAATCACAACTTTTGCAACAAAACTATCCCAGTCCACTTACGAGAAGTATAATGCTCAAAATGAACCATTCTAATTCAAATATGGATACATTGGCTGGAGT